GCTGGCGAGGCGTGCGGCGGGCGGGCGGCGCGGGCGGGGCGGGAGGCAGGCATACTTACCTGGCAGGGGAGACACCATGATCAGGCAGGTGGTTTTCCCAGGGCGAGGCTCATCCCTTGCACTCCGGGTGTGCTGACCCCTGCGATTTCCCCAAATGCGGGAAACTCGACTGCATAATTTGTGGTAGTGGGGGACTGCGTTCGCGCTCTCCCCTGGTCTTGCTGGTCAAAAACAGACGAAAGCGACTTCCCTTGTCTAACCACACCCAGAAGCGTTTTTGTTCCTGGTATTCCTTGCCCCCCAGCTGATGTCCAAGGTCCGTTCCTGCTCCATTAAATCACGATCCGCGCCATCCAGCACCCCGCAGGATCTCGGCCCGGCCAGAGGCAGGAGCAGCTGCCGGGGTCTCTCCACCCGCCTGAATCTCTAAAGAAACCGGTCACCCAATTTCTCAGCCTGGCCCTCCTTGCACGCTGCGGCCCCAGAGCCTCCACCCGGGTCCGCTCCAGCTTCCCATCCTCCTGCGAGGGTCAGGAGGAGTCCAAGAGCTTGCGGCGGCCCCCAGCACGGGCAGGACGCGGTGTTACCACACGAGTTTATTTAAATAAAACCGAACACAGATGCAGCGTTGCGACCGGAGTGACGGACCAGACAAGCGATGCGACAGGGACGTGGCAGCCAGGGCGGGTGGGCTCTGCGAGCCCTCGCGGTGACCCACCCCAGCCCCGGCTCCGTGGGGGCCACAGGCGAGAGGAGAGGGCCCACTGCCATTCCGTGCCGTGCTGAGGACAGGCCCCCTCTCCGGGACCCCCGCGGCTGCAGCTGCCTCCCGCTGCCATGGCCGCACCGGGCTGGGGTTCCCTCTTCACCTTCCCAGGAACCTGAACCAACCTCTCCCTCCTCTGCTCCGTGGCCTCCCGCTCCCACAGGCTGCCAGGCCGGCGCTCGCTCTGCCACGGGGGTCCTGGGGCTCCCAGCAAGGCGAGCAGCACGTGGCACCCCGGGCAGCCCCCGCGGACTCGCCTTCCTCCTCACTCTCACCACGGGCACGCAGGGCGCCAGGGCGGACGTGGCACTCGCTCACACCGGGGGACAACAGAAATAAATATGGGGAGGGGGCGGCGCGGGCCAGGCCCCGGCACGGCGCTGGAGCCCGGCCCGGCCCCGGCACAGCCGCGCCCCTCGCCCAGGGATGTCGGCTGGTTATGGAGATGGTGGCGTCCCCTGGAGCTGCCGGAGGCCGCGATGGCGTGTGACGGTGCGGGGCGAGGCGCGGGCTCGGGCCTCCAATGTCTATGGTGGGGGCGGCGCGGGGGGCGCGGGCGCGGGCCGGGGCTAGTACTCGTCCTGGTCCTCTGGCGGCTGCTCCTCCAGCTCGTCGTCCTCTGGTGGGGCAAAGCCCTCCTGCGGGGAGCCGTGGCAGCCGTCGGCACAGTGGTGGCACCGGCGGGCACACCAACCTCCACCAGGCTTGGCGTGAGGGCTTTGGCAAAGCCCAAACCCCTCCTGGGCACCCCATGGAGTGCACAAGGCTAAGGCAACTGTGGGGGAAGGGAGACCCCCCACCCCAGGGAAGTCCCTGAGGCTCCAGCGGGTCCCGAGGTGCCCAGCCCTCACCTCCGTGGCGTAGAGGACGCTGACGATGCCGGTGATGATGGGGCTGTTCTCGTTCTCGTGCTCTTGGCAGATGAGCTCAATGTCCCGCAGTTTGCTGAAGTAGAAATCTCGCTCCTTCTCCAGCCCATCCACTGTCAGCTTCAGGTCCATCAGCTGTGGGACAGGGAGATGGCCGAAACCTTCGGCCCCCCAGTCCCACGGTGCCCCCAGCCCCCCGGCAGGGACCCCTCGCTACCTGCTGGTTGAGCTCCAGGATCTGCGCGTCAGCCTCGGTGCCGCCGTTGCGGGTGGCAGGCGAGTTTTTCCGTAGGATGCCGCTGGGCACGTTGCCGAGGCGGGCTGGGTTCGGGGTGTTCTTGGGGCCTGTGGGGGAGGTCCTCTGGGGGACTTGAGAGCACACAGGGACCAATGGGTTAATGCCGGCTCGGGGGGCTGCCAGCAGGGAACCCCCCCATTGAGTGGGGGGCAGCGGTGGGCAGCAAGGGTAGGCAGATACCCTGCGCACAGCCACGGCCCCAGGCTCTCCCAACTTCAGCCTCCCCCCTGCCTCAGTTTCCCCCGGCAGATCTTGCCCCCAGCCCTCTAGGGGTGCTTGTGGCTTGTTCGGGGTTCAGCACGGGATCTGAGGAG